AATTCCAACTCCAGAGGATCCAATGACATCTGGCCTGTATAGGGAGGCACCTGCATTCATATGCACATAGCCACATACAGCTATAATACATGTACACATAATTAAAAATAATAAAAATAAATCTTACAAAAAGATTTAATTAGTAAAAATAAATTATTTTTAAAAAGATTAGTAGTCTCTATGCTCTCTAGTAGTTTTCATTTAACCCTCATAAAATAGCTGAGTGGCTTAACAAGATAGTTGTTGAAAGACACTAAATATTTTAAAGAAATAAACAGTAGTTCTGTTCCTTCAAGAAGAATTGCTGTTACAGCAATTAATGATGAAGCAACTGCATTGGAAAAAAGATCCTAAAAAAGTCTATTTTGAAACATTTGGTAGTGTAACATTACCACACGACTTAATCACTGGAAACTATGTGTATGTGTGCATTATTATAAAAATTCTTGAGCTAGGGAGGTGGATCACAAAATAAAGTGCTTACTGTATGAGCCTGAGAACTTGAGTTTGGATCCCCAGTGTCCATGTAAAAGGCTAAGCATAACCATGTGTGCCTGTTATCCCAGGACTGGCAGGTGGAGATCAGAGGGCCTAGAGACTTTACAGGATAGCAAGTCTAGCCAAATTGGCAGGCTCCATGTTTGGTGAGTGTCCTAGTTAGTGTTCTATGATGAAAAACCATGACCAAAAAGCAAGACGGGGAGGAAAGGGTTATTTTGCTTACATTTCCATATCACTGCTCATCATCAAAGGACATCAAGACAGGAACTCGAATAGGGCAGAAATCTTGAGGCAGGAGCTGATACAGAAGCCGTATAGGAAGACTGCTTAAGAACTTGCTCAGCCTACTTTTTTTTTTTTTTTAATAGAATTCAGGACCACTAGCTGACGGATGGTACCACCCTTAATGGACTGGGCACTCCGTAATAAATCACCTATCAAGAAAATGTCCTACAGGCTTGCCTACAGCTGGATCTTATGGAAGCATTTCTCAACTGAGATTAATCTCCTCTGTGATGACTCTAGCCTGTGTCAAGTTGACATAAAACTTGCCAGTACAATGAGAGATCCTGTCTCAAAATATAAGGTGGAGAGCAAGAGATAGGTTCCTGATGTCAATTTCTGGCCTCTGCACATCACACAGGGAAGTGCTCTCCTGAATTTACACATATACAGCCCTCCTCAATACACACACACACACACACACACACACACACACACACACACACACAAAGCTTCTTATATCGTCACACTTAGTAACCTGAAATGAGAAAGTGTACATTTAAAACTTGTACAGAAAGTTACAGAGATTGTGGAATAAAATGGTAAAAGTATAAATATGTTTCAACTTCTGATACATCCATAAAAATAGTTAAAGTGACTGGAGAGATGGGTCAATGGTTAAGAGCACTAGCTGTTCTTCCAGAGTACCTGGGTTCAATTCCCAGCACCAACATGGCAGCTCACAACTATGTGAAACTCCAGTTCCAGGGGATCCAACACTCTCACACAGACATATACACAGGCAAAACAACAATGCACAGAAAAAAAATAAAAATAAATAAATCATTAAAAAAATAACCAAAAAGGCTGGAAATAAAGATGAATGGTAGACTCATTTATTAGTCACACACCCCTAAGAGAAAGAAAAAACAAAAGAGTGAGTGAGAGACAGAGAGAGAGACACAGAGAGAGAGAGAGACAGAGAGAGAGAGAGACAGAGAGAGAGAGAGAGAGAGAGAGAGAGAGAGAGAGAGAGAGAGAGAGAGAGAGAATGAGAACTAACTAGCAAAGGGAGAACAGGTAATATTCTAGCCTAAATTCAGCAACACACTTGATGGTAGGGGCTGAAAAGAATGGTACATTTCCACTTGGTTTTACCGGTCTTTTACAGATACAATAAAAATGAAAACCATTTGATACAATAAAAATGAAAACCATTAAAAATGATTTAGAAACAAATTTGCAAATTGCTGTTTCATAATATGCTAAAACATAATAAAAATAATGACCCATGTTGATGACTCTCCATATAGAACTGTATATAAAAATAGTTTGGGAAAGTCTATAGCTATAGAATATAGATAAATGGTTTCCAGGAAAGAGGGAAGAAGGGAGCTATCAGCTACTCCTAACAGGTATAGTGTTTATTTGGGGAGTACAGAAATATTTGTAGTCTTCTTGGCCACCATGAAGCTATTCTAAAGAGACATACATTGGAATTTGCCCAGGAGCTTGGAGAAGGAAAAGACTGGGGCACTGATGAAAACCAGAGAGAAAACTATTCCTGAGAGAGTGCGATCTCCCAGGAAGAGATGTCATACAGTTCTAACAATTTGTCACACCACCTTACAAGAACAAGGAGTGAGAGAATGGTGGGCCAGACTGCTTAGTTTAAATGGCTTCTCTGTTGGAACCCAGGTTTCATGTCAGGGTCCTGAAGATGGACTCTGAGAGGTCAGTGGACTTCTTTGTTCCTTATCCAGTGTAGTCACATTGAATCTATCTTCCTTCTCTTCTTTTCACTATTATGTGCTTTTTTACTTGGCCTGTTGAGAATGAGTGGCTGAGCCTATGTTATTAGAGATGTCAGAGCCCAGGCTTTGATCCTAACAACTCCAGAAATACTCTGAAATTATGGAGTACTGAAACTTAATCAACACAATGAATATAATAAAAGCTACTGAACTATTTATTTTTAAATGACAAATTTACATTATATGACAGTTATTGCAGTAGAAAAATTACAAAAGTAAAAAGACCCATATTCAGTATTGAATAATACTTTGTGGTATATTTTGAAGCAAATATTATCAGTTTTATCCTTTAAAACAAGTCTAAATTTCTATACTTTATGAATTATCCATAATATCTTAGGATAGTAGCACTTATGCATAGTAAACGATACACATACGTATATTAGAAGTTTATTCTTACAAAAAATTTTGTTAATCATACATGTCTAGACACAATGATATAATACTAGATATTTGTGTCTAAGTAGCACATTATGTACTTCTGATGACTTTTCATGGGGTAGTAGGTACAGCCACACCCCTTCCTCCACTGAGAAGCTTTCTAAATTCATACTTTTTAAGATTTCAAACTCTGACATGAATATAAGATATTGTATCACAATATTATTTATGAAATCCTGATATTATATGTCCACAGTGTAATAAAATGGTGCTTTTGAATACAGAGAAATTTTTAGATCAAGAGACTGAGTAGCAAAAAGAAATTCTTATTGAATATAATGTGTGAAAGGTATTTGGAAGCAGAGGAGCTACATTTCCCTTGGAGTTCTGGCTGTGAGCTACTTTCTTTTTTTTTTTTTTTTTTTGGTTTTTTTTGAGACAGGGTTTCTCTATGTAGCTTTGGTGCCTGTCCTGGATCTCACTCTGTAGACCAGGTTGGCCTCAAACTCACAGAGATCCGCCTGCCTCTGCCTCCCGAGTGCTGGGATTAAAGGCCGGGCGCTAATCCCAGCACTCGGGAGGCAGAGCCAGGCGGATCGCTGTGAGTTCGAGGCCAGCCTGGACTACCAAGTGAGTTCCAGGAAAGGCACAAAGCTACACAGAGAAACCCTGTCTCGAAAAACCAAAAAAAAAAAAAAACAAAGCTACTTTCTACAGTGAAGATTGGAAGGAGCTGAAAACCACATGACTTCTCTTTGACAAGAGCTTCACTAAAGGTTTGTCTCTGGGCATGTCACTCTCAATCACTTGACTGAATTCTGTGAAATCATTTTCTTGTGGTTTTGGTTTTTGTTGTTGTTGTTGTGTTCTTTTGTTTTTTTCCCAGCACAAATGGCAGCCTCTTGTTTCTCTGGACCAGCTAACGGCAAGCTAAAAGTTAGATCACCGTTTTGCTCTTTCAGTGCTTCCAATGATCAAGTAACTTAGATCCTTCAATAAATACACTTTGAAATGCCCGTTTTCCTGACTATATTCTCTTTGATGTACTTGCCATATGTCACCTTGTCACAAGGTTTCTATTCTATGTCTGGTGTTATATTTGAAAGAGAAAGAGACAGAGGAAGAAATACTTAGTTGGCCAAACTTGAAACAAGAACATACTACTCCATCTTGCTAAGTTGTATTAAGACTTATGACACCAGCTACTAAATAAGAGTGACCACAAATAGAAGATTTTACTAACTTACATACACCTTAAACTTATGCATTCTACATAGACTGCCATCCTTAAATCTCTTTCAGGTCATGGCCCCAGGATACACTTTGAACAAGGCAGGAGACCACAAGTCTGGCCACTTGGGCAGATGGGAGATTTCCACAGCAAAGATATTGCCATCAGTGTACTTCTTTTTGAATAGTTGCTACCTGGTTTATTTTGTCCACTTGACAAAATTATGCTTTTCCTGATAAAAGTACAAGGGACTTAACAGAAGACAAGAACTTGATGTGTGTAACCCCTGCACTGCCCCCCTGAGCTACACTGTAGAGGCATGTTGTTTGATTTGGGGATGGGCCTAATGTCTGGTTGTAAGTCAGGGCTGTCTCCTTTTGTTATGGGAATAGAACCTAACTGGAGGCTAATCTAGGTGAATGACCATCAGCAGAAACTTTGTCCACAAGCCTAAACTTCAATTAAGATACCAAGTTTTCATTCCTGCAGCTTCCACAGGCTTGGTTAGTACACTATTTATCTTACATGCACACTGGAGGCACTGTGCCTTTACCTAAATCCAGCTTTGTGTAACTTAATATTTCCTAGGCAAGTTATTAGCAAATCCTTTATAACATCAGTTTTATTACTTCAAGTTTCTTCTTCATCAGAAGTTTAAAACGAAATCAAGTGTTCAAAACTATAGGCACTGTTTACCGCTACCCTGCAAGTGTTCAAAACAGAATAAAATACTGACAACACATACCAGTGATATATTTTTAAAGAAGTTCAAGGTACTGACGAGTTATTGGAGCTCTGAAAAACATGATTTGATGTTTCTTCACCAAAATATAATTAAAAGAATTTCCTACCTTTGTGATAAGAATTCGGTATCTATCCAGCATTGCCTGGTTGTCATGGCATCCTGCTAATAGCTGCCATACTTCTGCCCTTAATGCCTCAGGAACACCACTCTTTACCAAAGTGAATAGCCCTTTTGGTCGGCCACCAAGATTATTGTGCCTGAAGAAAGAAGAAAATAAACCATTCACAACCCATGCAATGAACTGCTGCTGTTATGGAAAGAATATTTATTAGTTTATGTAAAAAGGATAAGCCTGGATCAAAAGAAAATTGACTGGGAGCACTAAACAAAAGTAGAGCCTAAACCTCAGTGACATCTTTAACTATTTTTTTCTTTATTTCATCCTATATTTTGATGAGCCATGTTATTCCATCTTTAGGCAAAGGGTTTTTTTTCACCCTATCATTTATATTTTTTAATTTCTATATGATGATTATGTATTAACATATGTATTAGTTTTTGTTTATATCCAACATATTACGACATAAAAAAGAACCATTTAAATCCCCTGAGATGGTTGTACAGCACTAGAGTATGTTGCCAGAGAATGAGCTGAGATGTGGGAACCTCTCATACTTGACAGTACCCACTTCTTAACAGTCAAAGCTGGGCCAAATGCAAAAAGTAGTCCTACATTATTGGAATGAAATGTGCAAACTTCAGCTTCTTAGAGTCCCCACACCTTGACCCAAGGATTGCCTGGGAAGCTACAAGTCTTGTTCACCTAATTTGGAACACTCTGTTTCAGTTTAAACTTAAGCACAAAGGACCATATGGATTTAAAATACCTAAGGGGAGCCTTATGCCAAGAAGAGGTCCTCATTGCTGTCAGTTCTAGATTTGTCTTGCTGGCCTATTTGAACTATAAGTACTCCCTAAACTGTGGACTTTAGTCTTTCCTACAAAAACCAAAACTTACACAATACACCTTGCTAGAGGGATAGCTTATGTTTATCAGTCTTATCCTTTTCTCAAGGGCTGTTTAGAACCAGAGCAAAGGCAAACATCTGTTGTCTAAAGCCAATGATCACATAGTAGTTATGCTATAACGTCAACAGCCATCTGGTCAAGAAATTGAATTACAGTTCCAGTCTCATGAATGCAAGTCCATTCTTCACCTCTTTCCTGACCTAAGAGCTATAGTCCAGACCTTTTCTGCTCAGACATTTCTCATTTCTTGCTCACTATGTCACAGAGCTGACCCTGATGCAACCACTCAATTCCAAAACTTGATAATGTATCCCAGTTTGAACTAACACACCAGGCTTTAATTTCAAGTTTTAAAATTGAAAAGTCATGGAACCCATATGTCTATTTTACATAATTGGTATCCCACATACTTCTCCAAATTATGCACACTCTTCTATCGCCAGCCCAGACCCAAGTTTTGGCATCTTCTTCTGAAAATGTGTTCAAAGGTTTATTTTTCCCCCTTCATATTGTCATAATCTACATATTTTTGGAAAAAATCATAATGTTCCAAACTTACATAATAAGTTAAAGTAAACTTATCACATCAGGATTTTGTGTAAATCATCACATTTATGACCATCCTGCTTTCATTCAGCTACACTCCCGTGTGGAGAGGATTGGGACAATTAGACAATGGAAACTGGTAAAACTGATGGGCTCAAGTCAAAATGAAGAAGAAAGAGTTAAAACATAAAAGAATTATCATTATTAAAGATGATGATTATGCTGTTAAGGGACAGGATCAAAATAGTATACAGTTATTATTTTAGGTACATACTATTTTAACCTGCTTTTAAACATACATATGAAAAGAATTTGGAAGAACATATATAAAGTACATATGTATGTAGCAAAATTAAGAAAGTCCTTTAATTTTTAATTTTTATATTCTTTATAAATTAGTTACAATGATGCTAATATTTTTAAGTAGTCTCAGACTCAGTTGGATAATGAACAAGAGAGCTTCTAGGAAGTTCCAGGTATTAAATAGTTTATTCAGTTCTTCTTCTCAAGAACAATTAGTACTTTTCTATGTGTCATATTTTGTGGAATGCATTAAACATGTTTGCCCCAACTAATTAAAATTAAACTTATTTAAATATATAAAGGTAATTTTAATTATATATTTTATAATTATATAACATGTATGTAAATGTATAAATACATTGATACAAATATAATTATGCAATTAATATTTATAAAAAATAAAAAACAAAGGAAGGATAGCAAGACAGAAGGGAAGGATAAAGAGGGGATTTCCAAAACCATAAACTACAGAACTCTATGCAAATGGTGCTTTACCTTAATAAATCAAAAGAGAAAAAGAAAACTTCATGTGAACTTATCATTCCCAAGACTTTTAACATTTCTAAACCTAAAAAAGACATATGTTTAAAACAGAAATTCTGAGAATGATCATTTTTAAATTACTAATCTTCTATAACAGACACAATTTCTCTAGGCAAATTTTATGCTTTTTTTTTTTTTTTTTTTTTGGTTTTTCGAGACAGGGTTTCTCTGTGTAGCTTTGCGCCTCTCCTGGAACTCACTTGGTAGCCCAGGCTGGCCTCGAACTCACAGAGATCCGCCTGGCTCTGCCTCCCGAGTGCTGGGATTAAAGGCGTGCGCCACCACCGCCCGGCCAAATTTTATGCTTTTTAATATCTATTGCCATGACTGAAGTTTAATAATTCAAATGAAACAAAGGATATGAAATGAAAAACATCTAGCAAGCTTTGTAAGGGGTTAAAAATCAGTTGTCTCAGTTCCTCAATACAGTTCCCTTGTATTCTTCTAATGAGTTTCTTGAATTATAAAATGTTATTAATATAATATTGGTATTAATGTTTATCAATATCTAAAGTAACATTAATTAAATACAAGTCAAAAATATTTTGTCTTATTTCTTTAAAAACATATGATAACTGAATTTTAGCTGAGAAATTTTCTCAGTTCTACCTCAGAAGTCTTCAGTTTGGAAATTGTTCTCCATACATAAGGTCAATCAGTTTGATAAGAACCTGATGAATGCATACAATCAAACACCCTTATTAATCAGTTTGTCCCTTCCTCCAGGTTACTGCACTAAAAAAAGTAAAAGCATTACCATATATAGTGAAGCACACATGTAGTCCCAGCACCTGGAGTAGCTAAAACTGGCAGACAAGAGTTCAAGCCAAATATAAATCCTACCTCAATTTTTTTCAATTGTTTTTGAAATGAACTCAAGGGTAGAATGCTTGTCTGTCATGTTTAAAGACATGAATTTAATCATCACTACCAAAAAATTTAATATAGAAAAGTAATTATTAAAAATACTAACAATATCATCTTAAAGGAATTTGTGGGTGTTTTCTTTATTTCAGTGCCTACTAAAGCTGGATGGGTGGGAATATGATTACTTATTATCATTTTTCTATTGCGTATATATTCAAACTTTCCACTGGGTCTATAATATTTGCAATAAGCATTTATCAATTATAACACAACTATCTGTTTAAATATGTTTGCCTTTTTAACATGATAAAGCTTGAAAGTAAAATCCAGCTCACATGCCATCTCTAAATTGTCATTGCCCACTGGAATTTCTAACAAAAGATGATTAAACAAAAAAGACATTGGATGAGTGAGTCAACTGTTAATGGTTTTATAAAACAGAAATTAAAGTAAGAGCCAGACAAAAATGAAAACTGCAGATATATAAAGTGCTCATGGAGTTGAATCAACAGGAACTTGTAAAAAGAATATTTCATGCATGGGTACTTTAATCAATACTCAATAAATAGTTTTTATTTTCATTTCTCTGATGGCTAAGTTGAATATATTTTTTTAAACTTGGCTATTCATAGGTCTTATCTGGAAATATTTAGAAATTTTGCCTCTACTTCTTAGTTCTTCATTTTGTGCCAGGGAGCTATATGTCTACATTGCAAGTTCTGACAATTAATATAGCAAACACTGAAACAGGTACTGTGTCTTCCTACTTTATTCTTTATTTTCAAAATTGTTTTGAATGTTACAACCAATGTATATTTCATATAAATTTTAGGGATCAGCTTAGTAGCTATGAAATATTCTGCTGGAGATTTTACTGAAGTTTTCCGAGAAGACAGGTTACTTAGGAAACAGCGGAAATGTCAGTAATATTCATTCTTTCATTCTATGAGCTCTTTCATTGCTGTTTTCCATTGTTTCAAAACACAAGGACAGGCCGGGCGGTGGTGGCGCACGCCTTTAATCCCAGCACTTGGGAGGCAGAGCCAGGCGGATCTCTGTGAGTTCGAGGCCAGCCTGGGCTACCAAGTGAGTTCCAGGAAAGGCGCAAAGCTACACAGAGAAACCCTGTCTCGAAAAACCAAAAAAAAAAAAAAAAACACACAAGGACAGCAGTTTGCTAGATTTCTACACAAGTGTTTCATGGCTTTTTGTTCTGTATGTTTTATGTCTTCCATCTGACTTTTCATTGCTAGTATAGTCATGTAGAATTAGTGTTCACATACTGACTTTGTATTCTGTAAAACTGTAAAATGAGGCCAGGAGTGGTGACGCATGGTGTTAATCTCAGCACTCAAGAAGTAGAGGCAGGCAGATCTCTTTGAGTTCTAGGCCAGCCTTATCTAGACGGCAAGTTCCAGGCTAGCCAAAGCTATATGGTGAGAATTTAGTTCAAAAAAAGAAGAAAAAAGTATATAAAACAAAAGTTAGGTTTTGTTTGTCTGCTTGTTTTATACAAACATTTTTATTTTTTTGAAAGTGAAAATTATGTCTCTGAAAATAAGATACCATTTTATATATTTCTTTCAAATCTTATTTGTCTCTTCCTTTTAAAAAAAATTATACGGTAAAAGATGGGAGTAACCAATCAATAACTGATTTGACTTAAGGCCCACTCCATGAGATGGAACCCATACCTGACACTGCTTGGATGACCAAGAACCTGAGACTACCCCAGGGACCTAGAATAAAACTAAATAATACTGGTCTAAAAACTAGACATATGAATGAATGAATGAATGAATGAGGGAGGGAGGGAGGGAGGGAGGGAGGGAGGGAGGGAGGGAGGGAGGGAGGAAGGAAGGAAGGAAGGAAGGAAGGAAGGAAGGAAGGAAGGAAGGAAGGAAGGAAGGAAGGGAGGGATAAAATCACTCCTAATGGCATACTCATAGATCAGTGCCTTACTCAGCCATTACTAGAAAATCTTCCTGCAGCAGATTGGAACAAATATACAGACCCACAACCAGACATTACACAGAGAGTGAGAGACCTTAGAACACACAGTCCTAAATAGGATGTCCCCATCATATCCCTCCCCTCAGAGATCAGGGAACCCCATGGAAAAGGAGGAGGAAAGAATGTAAGAGCCAGAGCGGATGAAGGATACCATGAAACAAGGCCCTCTAAATCAACATAAGCAACGTTCATATGAATCCACAGAGGCTGATGCAGCATGCACGGAGCCTGCACAGTCTCTGAGTTTATATTATGGCTTCCAGTTTACTGTTTTTACAGGATTCCTGAATGTATGAACAAGTGGGTCTCTGATTCTTGTGACTTCTCTTTGTCTCTTTTCTGTCTGTCAGTGTGTCTTGCTCAACTTCAATGTGACAGTTTGGTTTTTTTTTTTTAATCTCATACTTTATTTTGTTATTTTTCTTCTGGTGATAACATAGTGACTTAATTTATTTTCATATGCTGGCCCACACTTGATTTCCCAGAATAAACCCCATTGTTATGCTTTATTTTCCTTTTTCTCTTACTATTGTTGGGGATTTTTGAGCATATGTTCATATGGCACACTTGACTGTGGTTTTGTCATAATATTTTAACTTGGTATTGTGATCAGTGTATGTTAGTATCATAAAATTAACTCAAAATAATTACCTTCTATATTCTGAGAAAGTCTGTATAAAACTTATCTGTAGCACAAATCTTAAAATGTCTTAGTAATAAAAACAAACCTGGAGCCAGGTATTCAGGTGAACGCTGAAAAATCAGAGACAGAATAGGCCACAGCCACCTCACCTTGCCAATTCCTCAGCTGATCCTGTTTCCTCAGACTGGAAGCCTCTGAGTCATCATCCAAATGCATCTCAGCTGAACTGCTGCTCAAAAGCCTAAAAGCTTAACCAGGCTAGTTCCTAGTTTTCATGCCTTTTATACCTTTCTGCTTCCTGCCATCACTTCCTGGGACTAAAGGCTCTTGTTACCATACCTGGCTGTTTCCAGTGTGGCCTTGAACTCACAGAGATTCAGACGGATCTCTGCCTCTGGAATGCTAGGATTAAAGGCGTGTGTGCCACCATTTTCTGGCCTCTATATCTAGTGGCTGTTCTGTTCTCTGACCCCAGATAAGTTTATTAGGGTGCACAATATTTTGGGGAACACAATATCACCACACTTAACAGTTTGCCTTTTATAAATATTTGGTAGAATTTTCTAATTAGGTTTCAAGCTTTCTTTGTTAAGAAAAAAAATGTTTAAGCAGGGTTGGGCATTTAACTCAATTGGGAGAATGCTTGTGGCTGGCACACCTGTAATGCTAGCACTTGGGAAGTGGAAGAAGGGGAATCAGGAGTTCATGTTATCCTTGGCAAAATTCAAGGTCAGCTTGGCTAGGTGAAATGCTTTCTCAAAAATAAAACACAAAAGATAAGAAGGAAAATTATTTTAATAAAAAAATGAATTCAATGATACCTAACCATTCAGGTTATTTCATTTTGAGCATACTTGGCACTTCAGACCTTTCCCAGAATTTGTTCATTTAACCTAGCTTTCAAAGTTTGGGTGGGAGAAATGACTTATGAAAGGAACTTAAATAGAACCCACACTGGGTAATGATCTAGAGAGACAAACATAAAAGGTTTCTATAAATCACATTTTAATTTTTATGTTATTAAGTATATCAAGGGCCTGTGTGTTCAGCTGGTAAAGGCCCTTGCTATACAAGCCTGGAGACTGAGTTGGGTACCTAAAACACACATAAAGGTAAAAGGAGAGGACTGATCCACAGTGTTGTCCTCTGAGCACCATACACACACACCCTTACACACATATATCATGCCTACAAAACACATTAAAAAATTAATTTAAAGTATACTCAGATATTAAGATAGCTTTTAATATTACAGCTTAAATTTTCTTTATTGACAGATTTTTAGTTAGTATAAAAATTAACACTAAATATGTAAATGTAAATTTTTGAATAAGAAAAATAAATTCTTACCATCTTCCTAACAATTCTCCCCAAGAATAGAGGATCTTCTCAGGACAGTCTTTTGACACATCACCTGTTCCACTTGAGAGTTCGTTATCACTCTCTACAGGGAAAAAAATACATATTATATAAGTATTTCCAAATCATAAAACATAAGACATGGCTATATATCTACCAAAAATAAACACCAGTGCCTAGATAAAATTGTCAAATAAATTTATGAAAATTCTCATCTGCAGATAAGACTCTACAGACAGCTGTATAAATAGCTTTATCCAAAGATAATAGTTTAAAGCTGGTTGTGATATCAGCAAATGGTAGAGAGGTCTTGGTCTTGTCCTTCCTACAAATAGTACATCTACCATCTATCCACATGTAAGAAAACTTGAGGGAAAAGCTAGAGATGCCCATCTAGCAAACAGAACTAAACAAAACCCAAATGACAAGGGTATGAGGGACAGTCTCACTCCATCAGTACTTCCGTTCTCCCTTTTCCACATGAGAACACAGGGTTGGAGAGGGCTTCCCAGTGCCCACAGTTTCTGCAGAGAAAAAGAAGGCAGGCAGCCAGCCAGCTTCCTGAGCATCACAAGATGTTCAGAGGCTCACTGGATACAATTTACCAGAAGAATGGCATGGCTTGACCGTCTGATGCATACAAAGAAATGAAAAACAGTGCATAGATCATGATGGTACTCTTGTTCCTGCCATCTGTGACACTTTTATGAGAGACAACAGCCAACACTGTATAAATTAAAACAAAATAAACATTTTAAGAAGCTGAAGATTTTGTAACAGGCAAAAATTTACACCTGATGAAGTGCTGGGAATAAGCGACTGTTGAGTGCCCAGCCGTAATGGAAGCTATAACACATACCTCAACCCTGGCTCAGGAAACATGAGTGAAGAAAAGGGGGAGGAAAGAATGCTGAGAAAGGCTGTTTTCTGGATGTGATGAGGCTGTTGTGCAAGTGAACTCATAGCAGCTATAGTTACCTACAGAAGGCCTGAATAAAACTGAACCCATCAACATTTTATCAAGGATGGGAAAGGCTACATGAGATAGAGAAAGACAATATAAAGACACAATTTATCTAAATTATAAAAGGGGATTCAGCATAGAACTAAGTAAGAAAGGCTAGCAATGTCTTAATAATACAAGATAGTTTAAAATTTTGTCTATCAGAGCACAAGTACCAAGACTTATCAATGCTGTTCCAAACTGGTAAGCAGCTCCCACACAAGGTCTATGTGAAGAATAGAGCTTCTTAAGATACTACAAAAGGCAATAATCCAACATAAAATAATTCACATCTGGGATATACAAAACATTTGTAATATTTATTCATTTAACTAATAATGGTTTATTTGGGCAGGCTAAAACACTTGGTCATAGCCATTCACAAATTCAGAAAAATCAAAACACATGTAAACACAGAGAAAAATGTTTAACTATTTTAGAATAATAACAGATAAGAATTGGGGCATTTTATTTAAAATCTGAGCATTGCTCTGGATAATGGAATGAAGAAAAAGTGTGATCTATTCTGTAAATAGCTCATTTGAGCAGCTCTGAAGTTAGTAACAAGCTCATCACAACAAATAGAAATGAGAGGTTTTGTTCTGAAGCTAAAGCAAATGAAGTTTCACTGGTATCAGGGGAACAGCGAGTGCTAACACAATCCACTGAAGATTCAATACTACAGTACCCTAAAGAACCAGTCCAGTAAACAATTATCCCATATAATCCTACATTCTCACAGAAAATTGGGCACTTTTGTGAAAAGAGGCTATTAAAAATTATAGTGAAAAACAGATTATAGTTAGATTATCTGAGGTAAATAAACAGAAGTTGCCTTACTTAATAGATTTATATCAAGTCTAAGTACTCATAACCTGGTATTCAATTAAGCAGTATGGAAGACACCATCTTATACTCTATTCTGATCCATAGTAAATAAGAGTACGTGAAGGTTCCAAAGTATTTGATGACCATGTACATGCTAAATTCAGAACCTAAGAAAGGGGAAAAAGACAAACATTCATGGACATCTTAAGCCTTCAGTATAGTAAAAATCAAAAGTATTGTAATAAAAGAATCATTTGAATTCTTATTAATCTTGGTGGTAAAAGAATACCTAAGCATGAAACAAAACAAGATGCAATAAAAATAAGGAATATGTCTACCTATAAATGTAAAATTTCAATTAACTAATGCAAAAAGTTTCCAACATATAACAAGGGGTTATTTTCTCCAACATACTACAATTTTACTAATAAATAAAGTATAAACCACTAGAAATTGAGCCAAGACAAGAACATAGTACGGGTCATAATACATAAAATATAAGCATCCAATGAAGATAATAAAGAAAACTCTACTGTAATTTTAAATGCAAAATGAAACAAAACATATTGACTAGTTAAATTGGCAGAGTATAATCAAAAGCATAGAAGAATAGAAAAGAAGATCAATGGAAATGGGATGTAGCTTAGTGATAGATGGTTTGCCTAACAAGTACACAAAGCCCTGTGTTCAATCTCCAGCACTATGAAAACCACAGGGGAGGTGAGGGAGAGAGGAGAACAACAGAGAGAAGAAACGGGGGGAGTAGAAAGGAGGGAAGAGGAAGGAGAGGGGAAGGGAAAGAGGAAAGTGAGGAATGGGGAAAAGGAGGGAAAGGGGCTTATGTTCAAGCAATAGCATTCCTTTATGGGTAAATGCATATACCCATGGCTGCTCCAAGTGATGTGGATACTGAATAATCAGCACTGAACAAGACATCTATACCAAACCCCTCTAAGGCTCAGGGAACATTACAGAATAGGGATCAAAAAGAATGTAAAAGCAGGAAGACAAGGAGAAGGAATGGGAAATCCTACCTTCTGGGTATGGTACAGCCATCACAACCACAAACTCACAGCAGCTGCAATTGCCTACACTGACTTCCACACAAATAAGCCTGCCAACAGCCAGGCATGGATGAAGGAGGAGCTCAAGGGGCCCTCCCCCTAGCAGGTGAACTACTGGCTACAGATATATTCTGGGATAGAGAAATTGTTGCCTTTAGTCGTATATCCACCAGTGAACCCACCAGGACCAATGAGTATCTCACCCATGGCTACACAGATAGCCCAGGTTAAACCCACTGGGTCACAAAGCAAAACAACAGACGTGGATATGGGAAATGGATTTGTAAGTAGGGGAGGTGTTGCTAGACATATAAAGAAAATCTAGAAAAACTGGGCAGTGGTGGTACACGTCTTTAATGCCAGCACTCAGGAGGCAGAGGTAGGCAGATATCTGAGTTCGAGGCCAGCCAGGTCTACAGAGCAAGCTCCAGGACAGTTCAGGTAAAAGAGAAACGCTGTCTTGAAAAAAAAGAAAAGAACTATACTGGTATGAAACTGTCAAAAAATAAATTTAATTAATAAAAATGAAATAAAAGGCAAGTGTTTATTAAAATTCTAAATCCATACATTTGATCCAGGAACTCTTCCAGAATCTTACCTTACAGAAATACATATACACACACCAGAAAGATCTATGTAAAAGAATTTTTGTTGTGATAATGCTTGTAATAATAAGAAATTGAAAATTAATGACAATCTATTAACACAAGTTTTATTAGATAAACTACAGTATATCTGTTCAAAGTAACATACCAAGTAGCTTAAAAGATTCTACACAGGTCAATTCTGCTAATACAAACATCTGCAATCCAAATGCTTCAAGATTATGACACTCAAAGTTTCTCATTTGAAAGCATTTCAAATATTTTGGATTTCCAGATTTGGGATGGATAACCAAAAAAGTCTAGACAAATACCCCCCAGATCCTAACAACTCCACACAACCCTAAACACTTCAGGTTGAAGCATCATATAAAGAACATTTTATGTGTATGTAATAACATGTAAAACCATTTAAATATGCTACTTAGTAATGAGAAGCAAGTTTGGGATCAACATGATTTGATGCCAAAGACCTTTAAAAATTGGTGAAAATATACATTTAACAGTAACTATGTAGCAGCATTTCTCTTTCTACATAGTAAGCACTAAGTAAATATTTACAGAATATAGTTTCACTTTCTAATGTTATACTTCTAACATATTCTAATACTTTAAAAGTATAGATAATGATGAGACACGGATTTTTAACTTTTGAATAGTCTCTATTGCCATATATATTAAAATATATTACTATAAACCCTTACTAATGAGTCATAAAATTATCACTGCTAACAGTAATGTATTTTCTTTCTGGCAATCTCCCATTACTTTCCATGACAAACAGGAAATCAGAACCTTAAAAATTCAGACTGGCAGAAGAAAAACACAAAAAGATGAGAAGAAATAAACAGTTTTAAATAAAACCTGATTCCTGAGAAACAATTACAGAATAAGTGGCAGTAAATTAGCAAGTCAAATATTTGAAAGGAAAAAAAAGAATTTAATCAAAGAAGACATGGGTCCAGTTTGCTGCTTTGTTGCTGTGATAAATATTATGACCAAATGCAAGTTGGAGAGAAAAGGACTTATTTCATCTTATACTTCCAGATAATAGCCAGACAGAAAACTCAGTGTAGAAACCTGGAAGTAGGAACTGAAGCAGAGGCCATGCAGAAACCCTGCTTGCAGGCTCACTCCCAGGCTTACATTCAGTGACCTCTCTTATACAGCCCAGGCCCACCTCTACAGGTATGGTACCACCCACAGATAGTGGCCCTCCAACATCAACTAACAATAAAAACCACCGCCCCAGAAGTGCCAACAGGCAAATCTAATGTAGACACTTCCTCAACTGAGTTTCCCTCTCCCCATCTGTGTCAAACTGACAACCAGGATTAGCCATCACAATAGGGAACGGGCTTCTACTGAATATGTTCCTTTTTTAAAGCAATCTTACTCCAGGCACTATTATACATTTTATAAACACTGTTTCATAGACATTGCCTTATTTAATCATATGTATCACTTAAAGAGTTTGTGCACTTTGCAAAGGACAAAATTGTTACACAGAAGCGCTAAGTAATTTGCTCAAGGTTATTCTACAAATGAATGACAGAAAGAGAGTTCAACCTTAGCTGGAATCCAGAGT